GCCTCAGTCGTAGTGGAAGTTCAGGTATGGCAGATTTGTGGATCTCGATGTTTTGTTATCTGCCCAGACCATGTATGCTTTAAGTCTCCTTTGATTTGTCTTGTCGTTGGTTTTAGACCCATTGATATAGTTCGGTAAATTCCAATTTTTGTGGTTCTTGATTCATCTTCAAGGAATTTTATCTCTCTCCTACAATTAAATTTTTTACTGTCGGGATTTTAACACCCGGTACAATTACGGTGAAAAATTCTCATGGGTAATTGGTTTAAGTTTGACATTTACTTGCTGAACAAGTTGTAATCAGGGTAATTTTCCCCCACCCATCAGTTTAAGGTTCTTTCGCACCATCTTTAAGTAATATTTTTTTCTTCGGTGGTGCATATCAACAAATTATCCTAGGTGATGTCTTCTGTTTAGATGAATTAATAGAGCGTGGTATTAGATTGAATACCAACTCAGAGAAGACATGGTGTTGAATGAGATTTATATACCTTCATTTTGTGGTTGGTGATTTTCCTCTTCTCAATTTTACTTAGTATTAGTATGTGTCATTCGTTTTGGGTTCAGATTTAGTCACTTGCCATGGAAGGCGGTGAGTACAAATGTTTATTATTTCATCTTTATATGCAGAGGAAGATCCCACGTAGAGGTCTTTCTTGTCTTTAATATTTTTTTTTCCAAGCCAGATTTTCTAATGTATTTTATGCTTTGCATATAGTTTACTTTCATCCTATAGTTTTGGATTGGGTTTTCGAGTTTTACTCGAAAGTTTGTGATAAGTTAATATTGGTGTAAGATTTTTTTCTCGTAAGTTTTCATAGCCTAGGGATAGGCTTTGGGTGATATAACATTTGAAGAGATGCTCACTAGGATGCTTATATGAATTTGAATGTTTATCACATTACACATGGAGTGACATGCATTTGAATTTTTTTCGCTTTTTGAATGAACATATTGTGTTTTTTCTTACGAGAAACGAATTATAAGTATTTTTCGTTTCTTATTTTCTATAATTTTCACAATATGA